TTTCAACAACCAATGCCAGAAACCTTGGGAAGTGTCTAACGAGGGGACAAATGTCTGGTGCTATTTCCTTGCATTTTCCTTAGCCATGTGTTGTTTGCACCTTGGAGGTCTTCTATGCCAGAAGTAGTATCACCGTAATTAATAGGGTGAAACTCCTGAATGAAGTTTCTTTTTATGGGTTTATTCAGTTCTTCTTTCTTCTGATGCAAGTTTATTTCTGGCATTCACAAAAAATGAGTGGGATAAATAATTTCAGTGTTTTTTCTTAGAACTCGTTGCTGTTGGAAGGAGGCTCTCCTATCTCATCATATACGGCAAGATCACCCATACTTGCGTGCTTAAGTTAGGATTGGAACAGGCTCCTGAGGGTAGTGGTCAAAGCACTGAGCCTACTGGTGTTCAAGAAGCATTTGGACAACACCCTCATGCGTTTGGGGTGATTCTGTGCAGAGCCAGGAGCTTGATGGTCCTTGTGGGTCCCTTCCAACTCAGGATATTCTCTGACTTTGGCTCTCCCACTGCTCTGACAGTAGACACATTTGTGGATTGTGTCTGTTTGATTCTTCTCCTTACAGATGGATGCAGTGCTACTTCACAGGTTGTAGGTAAACTTTTTCCAGGCTTATTATAAATCTGACATCAGTAATTTTCAAAGATGCCACTTTCAGTGCACTTGGCCTAAATGAGAATGAGCTTGTCTTTTTGCTTTCCTCTCCCTGGGATTCCTTTTGGATGAAACTTTCTCCACTGCTGCTGTCTGATCTGTGAAAAATTAATCTCCTTTTATTTTTTTTATTTGCTTCTGACCCAATCACATAATCTTCATGGAATGCTTAAAATATTGCACTTAAACTGTAGTTTGAGTTCAGTCGTAGTCATGACTGCTATCTGTTCACACAACATGCATAGCTATTTGCACAAGTCCTGAGATTAAGGAAAAAAATAGGTATCAGAATTGTGGGAGTGGGGTAACTCAAGAAGGCCAAACTAATGCTGTTTATTGCTGCTTTGTTACAGCTCACCACAGTGTGTGTGTTTTGTGTTCTATTTAAGGAGCACCTCCCAGTAAAACCTTCTTTTAATTTTGAGTGCAAGATTGACATGGGATAAGAAGTGGGGTGCAGAGCCTCCATGTGGAGGGAAGGAAAGCCCTAGATACCATCTTACCAGGCACGCATAAGCCCAAATAAAGCAGAAGATGTATCTCATGCTAAAGAGTTTTTATTTTTTAGCAGCTGTTTTAATAACCACGGTTTGATTTAAACTGGCGATCTGAAGGCATCCAGGCTTCTAGTGAAGCTGTTTGGTTGGTATACGTTCAGTTCTTGCTTGTGAGCAATGACAGCTGTGGTGAGACAGGAGCAGTTCTTCCAGCAGAGAGATCCTTCCTAGACAGCCTGTACTGCTCAGCTGGGTGGTCTTGAAAACCTTTTAGTAGTGCTTCTTAAATTTTTCTGTGGCTATGCTGAGATTTCTGTAGAGGTCAGAAAATGCAGTCTTAGTCTGTTTCCTTTTTTTTTTTTTTTTGTCCTGAAAGCTTCTCATGTTCAGAGTAACAGACAAAATTTTCTGATCTTGGAATCAGTGGTACCTCCACCTAGAACTGAGATGGACTTTGTAATAGACTTGATGTAGCTCATTTGTTTCACAGGACATGAGTCCGAGTTGTCCTGGCCTTTCAACTGTTCTGCCCCTTGAAGATGCATTCTGGACAAGCAGTGTTGAGTCAGACTTGAAGTTCTGATTTGCTTTACAGGCAGGTGTTCTTCTCTCCAAAGACTTCCCAGGGATGTTTCTCGGGTTGTGGGCACAGCTGGTGTCTGCTGTGTCTTCTAGTTGGGTATCTTGAGCATCAGCACAAGGTGGGGATAATACAAATTCCTGTTCTGTATCTCGTATTGAGGACTGGTGTTACATAGCAACCATTTTGGAGGATTTATTTCTTGAGGAGGATGTACGTACAGCTGTTTCTTTAATAGAGCAAGAAATACTCCCATTATGCCACAAGTGCAAGGTAAATCTGTCACTGCTAGGATTTTTATTAATGCATTAGTATGTACACGTGCTGTGTGGCCTTTGTGAAATATGCAGTGCTCTGGGCTTGCTGGCTTGTCCTTGCTGGGCTACAGTACCATGAATTACAGTGCAATACCTGCAGCATATGAGTTGCTCAGGCATATTTGATGACAGTGCACCATTCTTAGTCACAGATCTGAGATTACAGCGTTACCTTGGAAGGAAACTTTGCAGTAAATGAGTGTAGTTTTGTTCTGTTTTTTTTTTTTTTTTTTTAATTTGAGGAGATAAAAATGTGTGTGGTTGAGGAAGAGATCGGAGACAAAGCCAGAACTGAGCAGGAGAAGAAAATATCCCCAATAAGATAGCAGTTGGACTTTGTTAGGAAATGCTGCATGCCAGTCCCAGAGATCTAACAGACAGCAAAAGAAAAACAGTTCTCTCCTACAACTATTTGTGTTACATCAGGGTTACTTCTTAATCAGGGGCTTATAAGTAGACTTGAGTGTTCTCGACTGTGGGTGAGACTTGGCTCTCCAAAGCTTCCATCAATCTTAAGCACTTCTCTGCAACAACCAGGATGAAATAGCTGAAGCCAAAATCCTCTCTTAAATCAGCTTTTTTTTTTTTTTTTTTTTGAGGGGGAAGAAATGAGGGTAATTTGCCCAAGATGTACAGGCAGCATGTGCTTTTACTGCCGAGTTGTATTAAAAACAGCAGTGATGGGGGTGGTTCTTGTGGGGCATACAAGGGACTTGCTGAAGAGGATGTAGGAGATCATCTAGGAGCATTAGTTTTTTTGTTGTTTTTTTTTTGGCTTATGACGCAGTGAATTTACTAACTTTTTTTTTTGTGGGGAAGGAGTCTTGCGAGTGGTTTTGCTGAAATGTGTTCAGGACTCATGAACAGGGAGAACTGCAGGTGAATTTGTGATGTATGCAGAGGCCAGGTCAGGAGGCAGTGATGGTGTTGTGTGGCATCCTACAGACAGAGCTGGATGACTTTGCTGGTGAATTGCCTAAAGTAAGGGCTATCTCTGCACTGCCTCTCACCCAGAGGTTAGCAATAATGAGAATTTATTTCTATATTCTGTGCTACCTGTTCTCTTCAAGGCTCTTCTAGGTGAATTTTCTGTGTTTTTAGTGTAGGGTATTGGTATAAATACCCTAACATCCAAAATGTACTTGATAATTAAATTTAAATGGTTTGGCTTGGAGAATTCAATGTGTTGGTGATGTTAGCCTGTGGTATGGGACTTGAGCACAAGGTGGAGGGGAGAAAATTATGGCTGGGGTGTGCTACATTTGGCAGTGATCCAGTAGGACGTTCACTGGAGAAAGGTGGGGAAAACTGTCCTGCTTGCTAACAGAACATCCTTTCCTTGCTAACAGGAAAGCAGATAATAAATCACACTGTGTAAATCAGTCAGAGGTTGATTTTTATTTTAATATGACTCAACAGCAAGCTGCAATGCTTACCTTATGTGGAAAAACTGAGGAACCCTGTAATGTTTGTTAGTTTAGGATAATAAAATATTTTAAATAGGATAAAAAACGCGGTACCTCTTGTGTAGAGATTACTTTTCGTCCTATCTAAGATGCTGAGGCTGATCTGGGTAGCAATGGAATAATAATAGCTTTAGGAACCAAATATAGGAATAAAATTCATGAATATACACACTTCAGTACAAAACAACCTTTATGCTAAATATAAGGCATAGTCGCAATGTATCTTTTTGCTGGAGGTGACATGGACTTTACACTATGCATGTGATAGCTGATCTAAGCCAGAATTGAGTAAGACTAATTATTTTGGAGAGGCTGAGATAAATGATGATTTCTGAGAGCAGTTGTTTGTGCTGAAGTTAAAGCAATATCTAAAATAAATGCAACTTATTTCTATTTGTGGTTGCTTATAATGCTGATGGATTGGAGCAGATGTACTCTAACTTATGGAAATTGATTAAAGTGAAGGTTGATCAGAAATATTTGGAGCCAGATTTGTTTACGTTGCTTCTACTCTCCTGCTAAATCTTCCCTTGTTTGTTTTGCTTAAAGGAAAATACTTACTTTGAGGATTGAAAGCTATTCTCCTCTTACATTGTCACTTCAGAGGCTCAGTTCTGTTTCTGGTCAATATATGAGTTTGAGCTTCTTGAGACCTGTAAAGAACTAAATTAAAACAAACAAACAACAAAACCAAACACAATCTTTCCTTCTTTCCCTACTTCTTTTCTAATGACTTAGGTGTCTTGCAATGCAGACGCTTACTGGCTGATAAGTGCGTGTGGAAGTATTTGAGGTAACTGAACAATTTTACAGATAATATGATGCTAGGGAAGTGAATTGGTGATGCAAAATCATGAGTTTACCAGCATATGGGACTTAATACGACACCGTTCAGTAAGGAATCCATTTGAAAGCTGATTTATGTGGAGTCTTCCACCCCCTTCCCGTAAAGCAGTTGACAGTGGCCAAGCTTGGAGTTGAAATTCACTGGCGTTTTTGTTTAGGTTTTTCTTCTCCCTGCTGTGTCAGGACTAGTTCTCAGTGGTGGGGCTGTTGACAGGCTGCTTGCTCGGTGCTGTTACCCAGCTCCTGAATAATTCTGGGTCTGATAAATTAATTCTGGGTTGGATATATTATTGCTGCAGTGGGAGGATTATCTTAACTAATTCTTTTTTTTTTTTTTTTTTTCGGTAATTTTCTACCCTTGCAGCTACCCAGGAAAAGTATTTGATGGAAGTAGCTCTAAAAAAATGTGTATGTGCATGCTGTTTCTTAACCAGAAGGTATTTCAGTAGCTTTGTACCCGCAAACAAGCAGGCTGCAGGGAGATGCTGCTGGAGTCTGCGGGCTGCTGGTGCCCTCGCGAGGCCAAACCACAAAATGTCACGGTCCTGTGAGTGGAAGTGCTCACAACTTACAAGTAGTCATTTTAGAGCTGCTTTTGTAACCTGGTTTTGTTACTTTCTTGTCCCGTAGGTGAAAATGCGAAGGAAGAACAGCAGGGGAAGAAAAGCCTGAGCGAGAAGGTCTCCCTGTACAGAGGCGACATCACGTTGCTTGAGGTCGATGCCATTGTCAATGCAGGTAGGTGACAAATGGTTTATGTTGGTACGGCTTGAAGATCCTTTCTTGCGGGGATATCTATGTTGCGAGCGTGAGCTCTGGAAAGCTGCATAAAATTGCTGTGTGCTTTGGAAACCTGTTGGAAACTTTTTCCTGAGTTTCTCTATTATGTCTGTTCATCCTTTTGTGTCTGTACCTTCGCTATGCAAAGGATTATTCTGAAACTTGAATATCATGGTCACCAGGGGAAAAAAAATCATCCTTTTTTTTGATTTAGCTTGTATAGCTGGGACTTCACACTTGATAGTGGCAGAAAACTGAACTTTGATACTAAACTACTGCAGTACATTATTCTTTTTTTTTTTTTTTTTTTTTCAAATCAAGCTGTTTGTAGAGTAGATGATGTGAAACTGTTAACAATAAGGTGATAGGAGAAGTGGCTTACTGTTTTCTGTGGTTAAAATACTTCTTGTAGGGTGATTGTGTCTTTTGAATTTTTGGTTATGAGCTACAGAGTGCTAAACGTTTTAAAACTTCGAGTTTAGTGACTGTGGCCCTGTGTACGTGATTGAAGTGAAGAAATGTGTTGCAGCATCTTGTGACAAAAAAGCATATGCAATTAATTTCTTCATGTTAATTGGAGTACTGGTTCTTTTGTAAGAACCAATTTTTGGTATTATTTATTGGAAGGAAACTTACTGCATTCTCTGTAATGGAATAAAGTATGGAGATCAACTGCCATGCAGCCTTGGGGATGTATTTTGCCTACCATGATAAAAAGCTATATGGAGATGGCTCGTGCCTTTTGTAAAAAGCATAGAAACGTTTGCTTATGCAGCATGGAAGTTGGTATACCTAGTTTCTTGGGTTGCTTTGTATTTTCTCTGTACACAACTCCACACGTGGAGACATGCTAGTGGGTTATGGGAGTACATGTAGAATCATCAGTTACTTGTTGGGGTTCAAAAATTTTAAAGTAAAGACTTTATTGGCAAATACAAGTTGCTATTAGTCTTCTAGTTAACTGATGCATTAAAAACTTTCTACACTACTATGCAGTAGCATCCGCGTGGTAACACAATCCTCTCCTCACTTTTGGGAAGACCTCTGAAGTTTTAATCTTAATGTTTTTCCTGATTATTTCAAAATGACATTTCCTTGAGTACTTTTGCTGACTTCCTTATTGTTCTACAGTAAGTAAATATTAGCATGCTTTTCTTGATTTATATTTACGTTGTCTTTATTCATGGGCCTCCCTAGAATCGCAGGTTGGAATTGGTTGCGGAGTAGCTTTGAAATGGAAATACTTCACTTTTCTTGCTTTTGTAGTGTCCTTAAACCCTACATTCCCAATTTGGAAACGATTCATTCCTCACCAGGGTGAGGATCTGTTTTCTGGCTTCTGCAGAGTGACAGAGATGGTAGCTGAAAATGATGGGAGCTGATGTGTCATTTTGCTAAAATCAGTGTCAGTTATGTACCCCCATTAATGTGCTCATCTTTGAGAATGATTCCTTAAAATTTTCTTGGTAGCAATTGTAATGCAGACAGATAGTAGTTTAACTTCATGTTTTGCCTGGGGTGTCCAGTTATGTTAATTTCCTATCCTCCTTTTCTTAAGGCTTCTATTGAGATTTGCATAAAAATTTGTCTTCTAGTCTTTTTTTTGTGTGCTGGTTATTACACTCCCACTCCAAGCTGGGCATACATGTGTTTGGGGAAGGGAAAAGGGGCTATTTGGTCCCGCTGCCCCTTCCCTCTTTAAACCCATTTTATTTTTTCTGAAGGCAGTTTCTGATGGAAGGCATTTCTGTGGACCAAATGGGTGGTGTGAGGGGGGAAAAAAGTTCCAGATAATACTGGAAAAAGTTTCAGATAATGTTGGAATATTGACACCATAAATGAGCAATAACAACCCCTACCTTCAATCTACTGTAACATTTTTGAGCTTCTACCTCTAAAGTACAACGTGGATTTAGGGAGCAAATCTTTCTGCTGGATATTAAAATTTAGTCCATAATAGGTGGTGCACGGCCTGAGTTGTGGCTCCGAACAAATCGCTTCCTTCTGTCTGCTTGCCCACTGCTCCTACACACATGGAGTATATGATGAATTACCATTAATTAATACAGGGGGAGGGAGGAGGGTGCTTTGCTCTTTATAACATATCATGTGGCAGCTTTTTAATTTGAAGTAGATACAGGAGTTGTGTTTTGAAAGTGGGTGTGATTGTATGTGTCCAAGTAGTCAGATAACTTAAATTGCAGTTGATCGCTGCTGAACAAGTATTAATTCACTTGCTACCTGTTGAATCTTACTGGCCATGTTCTAAGATAAGGTGACATGTACTGGTGTGCTTGTGAGTTAGTATTTACTGAAAGCGAGATCAAGAGGCAACAATTCTGTGGGGTGGGGGGAATGGATGATTTTTTACTTTTATTTGACTGGATGGATGACTTGCAGAATGCTGGAAGAAACGCTACTTCTTAGCTTTGAAAGCTATTCTTTGTACTATGCTTTTGTACAAATACCTAAGAAGAGAAATCTTTGATCTACAGGAAAAAAGGAACATCATTATTCTATTCTAGTTGATGCCTACTGTTAATAAGTCTATAGTGTTATCTGTAAATGAGCAACTAGCCAGTTCCTACGGTTACAGCATCTAGGATGCTCCCTTTAGTGAACAATACTTGAGTACTGCAATCATATCAAATGCTCCTAAATTTTAGTTTACATCATTTGTCTTGCTGTGTGTCCCTGTCCTAGTACTTGAAGCATACAGAACTGGAAATTTCTTGTTTCATTTTAAGTCTCATTCTTGTTATTGAAATACATATATGCCTTTCCTCCCTCAAGCTTTTCTTTCAAAACCGCATTTAAGTGTTTAAAGGTAGTATTTTTCTTAATTTTCATAACTGGATTTTCTTCTGGACTCTTTCCCCCCCACCTTTGACCTAGAAATACATAGTCTGTTTAATTTTGAGGCATCCCATTTTTCTCATGTCCAAAATTACGTGTCAAGGTAGGACTATGCATCGGAACAGTGAACTGAATACATTACCAGTGAGTTATGCTCAAATGAATGTGTAAGTGTAGACAGTGGCTGAACTATGCCTTTCCACATAAACAGCTTGTTAATGTGCAATCAGTCACTGCAGTTGCCTTGAACTTGGTGCTTAATGAACAGGTGGGGAAAAAGGATGAATTCTAATCTGGAACAGATCTGACACCAGGCAATTTCGCTGATTGCTAATCCATTTCATTTGGCAACTTAATTTATCACACAAAATGTTCATCTTGCAGCTTCTGAAGTTAGAAATTACTTCAGCAGTGGCCTGTCTGAAAATTATGAGGGGGTTAGAGTTGGTAGCTGGCCCTGAACTAGCATCGCACGTACACTGATTTCCCCACCCACCTTTAAGCTCCCTGTAGGATTTTGCACGGGGTGTGTGCGTTTATCAGCACTGAATTTTCATCTGAGCTAAATGCACAAATGGTTACCTGCACTGAGAGCTTCCCATTGAGTCTGATGTCTAGTAGCATGTTTTCTAAGCACATTTGAAAAGTTTCACCTGGGGTGTGCAGGTAGGGGAACTGAAAACTTGTATTGAAATCAGTCATCTGGCATCTGCCTATAGAACTTGTGCTGCTGTAATTTCCTCTGGGAACAGTACCATTAATGCCTACAAACTGTTGTTAATTTGGTTTTTATCTTTAGCGTGAGCAAGCCAAGGTGTTAATCAAAGGTTGCTCAAGTTAATTTACAGTTGGTGCAATTATATTTATATATATATAACCCCAGATTCATTTATACATGTATTTCCCACTTATTTATCAAAAAAGTCAACATTAATTGTTGGGGGAATCAGTCATTCTTCATCATGGCATCTGTGAGTAAGCTTATTAGCGCTTTCTGTGGCAAATATGTTAAATATGTCTGGCAAGTAGTAGACATGCCTAAAATTTTTGGCTGCTTTATTTTGTCTCATCTGATTTCAGTGTAGTCCTTCTCTTTGCTGTAACACTCATTTAGATGAAAACTGTAAGTTTGTGTTAAGTGATGTTGATCAAGAGAATGAAACCAAAGAAAAGCACATCTAGAGGTGTGATTTAATTCAGGTGGATTACTTTAGCTGTTGTCTTGGTCAAACAACTTTTGCTCTAAGGATGTGACAAAGGCTTAAGATGGAGGAGACAGACTCAGATAGGCACTGAAGCAAATACAGCCACAGTATATTTTGAAAGTATCCCAGCTTTAATGTTACGGTATCGCTTACGTAGCAGAGAAGCCTTGTGGGTGCACCCATTGCTCAGATGTGGGCCTGAGCATAATTCTTCCTGAGTGCTTCGTGCCTGTGAGCTGAGGGTGTCAGGCGATGTAAGGAAGATCTGAAGCCTAAGCCTGCAGCCTGTGAGGAAAGCTTTGCCCCTCAGCCTGCCATATGGCCAGATGCTGCAGACAGCATCTTAACAAGCAGTGGGATGCCAGTGTTACTTTTTTTTTTAAAAAAAAAAAAAAAAAAAAAGGCAGAGAAGAAAACACATTTTCCATTGAAACAAGGCACTTAATTATAAGGCGGCTCCTTCGACTAACAGATTGTGGACTGAAGCATGGGCTCTGTCAAAGCAAGTTGAGGTTCAAAGCAATGCTGTTTGACTTTGCATGTTGTTAGTCTCCCCATGCTGCCCTAGAAATTAGGGTGGAATAAGGTGAGGGTACAGAATATCTAAAACCCTGGCACAAAGCCAGGTGGCCAAGCATCTCCTCTGACTGGGTTCAGAATAGCCTCATAGTTTTCTGATAATCTAATAGGAAACGGGCAAGGTAAGAGACTTTGTAGGAGCCTGATCTAACCTGATGGCCTATGGTGCATGTATTTATTTAATTAACGATGTAGTCTCAACAAATGTAGATGCTTTCAGATGTTATTTGTTTGCTGAGACTAGCCTGATATCCTTATTTTTTTGTGCATCCATTGTTGAGCCCACTTACAGTCTAGTACTTCTAGGTTTCCTGGGAC